GACGTCCGCCTGTCGCGTCAGTTGTGTTGTCTCGTCCTGTGACGACCAACTGGCTTGGTATCGGTCGCGGCACCCAAATGTGACGTTCTAACCTTTTGGTGATTCGGATGGGAATCTGGTTAGATTCGATATCAGCCTCGTTGTTCCCAACTCGCTTCCAACGCCTGGTTACCAAAGTAACTGCATTGATCTCCAGTCTGCCTACCCACGTTGTGAATTGATCTTAGGCAGACGAGATCAATCAGTAGTCGGGGCCGTAATGCAAATCGGGTTCAAACGGGGGTGACACCGCACAAATATGCATAAAAGAAAATAAAATGATAACTCAAAAATTCAAGGTATCAAAAAAAGGATAACAAACTTTATGTCTAGTTGTTGGATACCTAGGACTGCGTCTATTTCCCGACCCGTTCTATGGATTGTGTCACGTTGTTTTCTGTTAGGCGAGTTTTAACGCTTCAAGTTGTTTGCTCTTTAAGAAATTGGTTTTTCGGTGTGTCTTCGGGCGAAAGTCGAAAAAAAAAACTTATTTTGGTGGTCTGGATCTAAGTCGCTCTTCAAATTAATTGTTCTTGGATTGAAGAGGAGTCCGGAATTTGCGCGAATCTTGGTCAGCCAATGCGAGGCTTGCTTCAACTGGAGACTGACTCTGGGAACTGTCTCGAATTCAACTGACTTCTGCTCTCTGCGACTTCGCTTATATGGACGCCGACCAAAACCGGGGTGGGTTTGTCGGCGCCGGGGGTTCCTCGATAATTCTAAATACATATCCACCTCTTTTATTTCTGGTTAGGAATTTTCCACTTTTTTCCATTTTTGGGAGCCTTCTCTTACTCCCACCTTCTCACCATACTTCAGAGGGGCGTGAACTGCCCTCCCCACTTCTTCGTGGCAACCTCTCATACCCATCCTCTAGATGGGCGGCGACAGCCTCCTCCTTGCGTCACGTGGTCACCACTCGACCAGTGATGTCTAGTCGGGCGTGTACGATCCCGCGGCTTTGTTTCAGGAAAAAAATATCTTGCTTAACAAAAAAAAAAAAATATCTTTTTCTTTTCCTTTTATTTCTTTTAATCGCAGTTATCATTTTCTCTAGCCGCAACCAGAACAATACGATCGATGGTGGTCATAACTCTTGTTCTCACCTGGGCTTCGTCAGTCATCTTATCGCTAATTATCAGAATGGGTGGTATTTTTAACACGGCCAGACCGTCGCCTCGGAAAAAAAAAAACATTTCTAGGTTCCCATTCATTTTTTCGGTACATATTTCTGATAACATAGTTTTATTATCGCAGGCTAAAGATGTTCTGTCGAAAGAAATCGGTCAGTGGCCACCTCGTGTGCGGCTTTCGACACAATTAATTTTTCATATCTATCCAAAGCCCTGTAGTCCACCTGTTTTCCGTCACTTATCAAAATAACATTTTCATTTGGATTTTTCTTTGGCTAGTCGGTCTGTGGTTTGCCAATCAGATGCCTTCCCGCATTAGCGGTTTGTTTATGTATCCCAATAACACAGCCCGTCGTCAGAACACACCCGATTCCTTTATCCACTCAGAAGTTTTTTTTCATTGTAATGACACTCTTCGCCATTTGTTATTTATCAAAATATCCTTTATCCGTTGTCTCTTAGCCGTGGGTGTTCTGCTGATCATCCACGCTTTGGGTCTTCGCCTCTCTTTTCCTTTCTTTCCTTTCTTTTCTTTTTCTGCCTTGGTAATTGGTGCCACACTGGATACATTCAACTGTTGCAGGACAGTCTTTATGTCACTAATCTTGTTCAGTTTAATCACATTCTGCAGCAAGATAATGCCCCACTCCATAAAGTTAAGGTAGTAATGACTTAGGTTAAGCAACAAGGATATACAGTTATGCTGTGAACCCAACAATCACTTGATGCAAACCAAAATGATGTAAGTTTGGGATACATTGAAAGAAAGATTGGATAAAATGAAAATAATTTCAAAAGCAATGCCTTGAATGAAAGTCTAAGATGTGTGCCCTTAGATAACAATTAATTATCTCAACCAATTAATTGAATCAATGTCTGCCAGGAATGGCTGCAATTATTGCAAATTGTGCTGGAATGACACATTATTAAGAACATGTTCTTATATTTTATGAAGCCTTTATATAGTATTCAAAAATATTGTTTGTTGCTACAGAAATTGGAATTTCTTATGATTAGGTGGTAGTATTAATTATTGGTAAGGGTGTATCTATCTATCTATCTATCTATCTATCTATCTATCTGTCTGTTTATATTCATATATATATATATATATACATATATAGACATTCATAGATTCATATATGTGTATATATATTTGTATACATTCATATGCCTATGTGTGTGTGTGTGTTTTTGTGTGAGTGTGTGGGTGTGTAGGTGGATGGGTGTGCGTGTGTGTATTATGACACGTCTCCTTGAATAATTTAGGCAAGTTTTTTCAACTTATTTTCAATAGGATCCTCTGATGTTCACGGACAAGCTTCTTAGTATCCTTATTAAAGGAAGAGAGAAAATTAACATGTTGATACATATTCATTTATTTCGAGTACTTTCGACATTAGCATAATTTCATCATCAGGGTGTGTTTTTTTCTAAGACAAAAATTGTGTTCATCATTTTTCTCAGACAAATTATTCTATGAGACGTGTCCTAATGAAAACATGCTGCCAAAATATGCGCAATATATATATATATATATATATATATATATATATATATATATAAGGCGGCCTAACGATTGTGTCTAGCATGAAACAGCCTGTCGCCTCTGAGTGTTGAATTCAATGTTCACTTTTATATTTATATTTACATACGCTCTAGCTCTGATATTGAGCACTTTATCCCATAAATATAGCACACCTTAAAACTATATTTCTTCATATATATATATATATATATATATATATATATATATATATATATTCAAGTTGATTACATAAGTTAAACGTATTATATCTAGACATAATGCGTCTAACCTATTCAACTAAACATGCTTGAATGAAAATATGCTGCCTAGATATATATATATATATATATATATGGTTAACTCTCCCGTTGTATTCCATGTACGAGGGCCAAGCAGCTCAGTTCCTAGGAACCGACAGCCAGACACCAGCACATATGATTTTATTATTGTGGTGAAGGCTCTGTCCAAATTACGACCCTCCGCAGGTTTTGAATTCAGAGTTGTTCTTTTGCTAGACCACTTGCCATCCAAGGCTATAGAACCCAATCTGTCCTGCTATTTAACCATAGCTGGAGGCAGAGGAGGATCATTACCTTTCCCAAGGTTATTAGCGCGTAAGTGAATGTAATGGATTCGAACTCGGCTCTCCGATTCCTCAATCCGAACCGCTATCCACTGATCCACCGTGCCTCCTATAATATATATATATGTATTATAAACAGAGCATTTACTTAAGTATATGTGGGTAGAAATATGTATATGCAGAAAATATATTAATATATTTTATATATATGAATATATATATGAATTATTTTTTGAGTTACATTACAATATATTATATACAGAGTACGTATTAGTTAAGCTTACCAATTTATGCAGATTTTATAAAATTAAAAAAAATTATATAATAGAAGAAATGTCAATTTTTAAAAACATTCTAAGATAAATATGGAAATTATTTGATAGATCCATCACACGGAATCTTTTTTTCCATTACTGTCTGATTGTTTAACCATGTTTGTTGTAAATACTTATTGTAAGGCATTTGAGGGCACTTCGACGTGGTGTAACGTTTAACAAACGTCTCGTTGGATCAATTACGAATTCAATCCATAGTTTTCGGCCTTGTGTCACATCTGAGCAAAGCTTATAAAATTGCTCTTTTGAATTTGATCGCCAAGGTGTGAGACACGAAATCTGATAGATTATTCTCTCATAGATTGGAATGCTATGCACGGGACTGTTTTACATCCTTTGAGCACTTCTACATGGTGTATGACAGCAAGCATTACTCGCTATATCAATTACTACTGAGTAGTGAGTTCGATCCTCACTAGCTGCACCATGCTTTCGGTTTTGTACCACATCTAAGTTTGCTTTAGTAAATCACTATAAGGCCTTCGAGAATTTAGAGCTTGCAATTAATGTTTTTGATTTACAATAATGTTTACTCTTTACAAAGCCCAGGAGCCACTCGAGATAATGGTTTATAGATTAAGAGGTAAGGGTACAATTTATTAGAATATGTGGGCAAGATAACGGTTAACCCAAGACTTGAATAAGTTAAAATTGTAGCGATCGGGGAAGTAACTACTTGGGAGTAGGTTCCACGAAGTAGCGGTTCGTGCGAAGAAACTGTTCAAGTGAAACTTGTTTCTCACCAGTGGAATATGGGGGCAATGTAGGTGGTTCGCTACGATGTGCGTAGCATGTCTAGTCTTAGGTTAGAACTGGTGGAACTAAATGTAGTTTGACTGAACACTTTCCATGGAAATATCGATAGAGCAGCAAACGTCTTGCTACGTTTGTGGGGAAAGGGGTTGTAGGGTGGATAATAATTCATCCTCCACAAGGACGCGGTGACGCTTTTCGACACTATTGAAACTGAAAAGTGAAGATTGGCCATCTCCTGCTCATGTATGGCAATAGTATTCCATATTCGGTCCTATCTGTCTCTTGTAAAGGTAGAGGATAGCAGGAGGGACCAGGTACTTACTGGAGTGGTAAAGGGTACCGAACAGTTCTCTAGCATCTTTAGTGATGGATCGTATGTACGAAATCTATTTGAGGTTGGCGTTGAACATATGCGTGTATTATCCATTATGGATCTTATTTTAGTAAAACTATCGTGTTTGTTAACATGTACTCTTATTCCACTTTGGTAAGATAAATGAAAAGTTAACCTGCAGGAGAGTGTTGTGGTTGTATGACCAACTCAGAGAATTTTGTTTGAAGTTGTAATTTCCTATTAGACATAAAACTTTGTATCTTACGTCATTTTTGCTTTCAGAATAAAAGAATTAGGAATAAGAGAAATAATATGAAAATAGCAATAAGAAAGAAAGAAAAGAAGAAAAAATAAAGAAAGAAAGGAAGAAGGAAAGATGGGAAGAAAGAAAGAAGAAAGGAATAGTGAAAAGCGCAATGATAGAAACAAAGAAAAGAAAGAATGAAAGAGCAGCAAATATAAGAGGAAAAAGAAAAGAAATGGACAAAGACAGAGAAAAGAGAGATGACAGATGAAGGGGAGGCTTTAAATATAGAAAATGTGGACAAAAAACCAAAAGTAATACAAAAAAGAGGAAAATAAAGAGAAAGAAGGAAAGAATAAAAAATAAAAAATAAAGTAAGAACGAGAAGAGAAAGAAGAAAAAGATTTTGACGAAAAATAGAGAGGATAATGAAATGAATAGAAATTCCATAAAAGCGAAAAAGAAAAGGCGCAGAAAATGAAAAATCAAAGACGAAGATAGAAAAAGATGACTAAAAAGAAGACAAATATTAACAGTGATAAGAGACTGAGAGCAATAAACAATGGCAGAGAAAAGAAGAAAAAAAACGAAGAAGAAGAGAGAGAAAATACATAAAGAGAAGAAATTTGTTGGTAGTGAAATGAGGCTGAGAGTAATAAAAATAAATAATATCTGAAATATAAAAGAACTGGGCTGGTGCCAGACAAATGGTTTCTCTTGTGGAAATAGTTCTCGAGTCTATGGTCTTCTGGTGTGCAAATTCTAAGCCTATAAATAGAGAGCTTCTTTTGCAGCAGGTGCCCACGACCCTTCAGAGTTGAACTGCAATCTTCCAGCAGTCGTCTTCTTTCTTTCTCTCTTGGCGGGTGTAAATGGCAACAATAATGTCTTCTGGGCCTCGTCAAATCACTTCGTTCCGCTACATTGGCTCGGCCTAAAATGTTTATCTTTCATTACATCTTCGGGGTCTTCTTTATTTACGGCATTTAGTTTTTGACAGTTTTTTTTTCCTTCGCACTAAATGTTTTTTTTCAATGGTTTTGTTTTATTTAGTTTCATACTCTTCATTGTAATAATTCTTGTTCATTTTGAAATTCGGTCGATTGTCGTCTCAGGCTGAAATATGCATGAGTATATATATATATATATATATATATATATATATATATATATATATATATATATATATATATATATATATATATATATATATATATATATATATATATATATATATATATATATATATATATATATATATATATATATATATATATATATATATATATATATATATATATATATATATTATAAACGAACGAACACACACACACATATACACACACACACACACACACATATATATATATACGAAGGTATATATTCATTTGTAAATGTTTGTATAAGGACATTTATTTAATTACATGATTTCTGTTAACACATACGCATGTATATATATATGATATATATATATATATATATATATATATATATATATATATATATATATATATATATATAGGGGAAGAGGTTATAGTTGCGCCAGTGAGAGAAACGTGTATATATTAAAAAGAAGAGAGAAACCGCAAACGTTTTTGGTTGTACTGTGGATTTGTTATATATATATATATATATATATATATATATATATATATTATGCGTTATTTTCCATAATTTTGGTACACGGGTTTCCGATCTCGCGGCCTTCATCAGGCAAAGAGTGGATATTTCCACATATTATTAAAAGGATTAATTTTTCTTATGTTTTTCGATGTTAAACATTCTCGATGTTAAACATACTCTTTTTTGTGTGTTAGTGACACAAATGTCTTCCTTGAACTGGCAGTGAGAAAGTTCTTCAGCGTGAATGGTAATAAAATAATTAAGATTGGTCCGAGAAAGGGTGAGGAAACGTATCTGTATTCTTATCTTTTAATGAGCCCTGTGTGTTCTCAGATCTACTTCCATTTTCTGTATTGTCCGTGATTTTGTCAGCATGCATATGAATATGTATATTCCCTTTTCCATACATAGATACTGTCTTTATTATGTCTATTTATTTTTATTTTAATCCTCACAAATTCATGAATCAATTTCTTAGTGCTTTTACGAAACTGATTAAGAAAGACGACGTAATTTTGGTTATTTCTTTTATTTTCCTTAGTGCTTTCAATTTCATCCATGATCATATTCAGGGGTGAATTGCTAAGGCAAAAATTAGTGTCATTGATAGTTGTGAAATTTTCCGCAAATGCGCATGCACGCACTTATAGTCAACTTACGTTATAGATATGTAAGGGAGGTAAATGTGTTCAAACTGATGTTTTAAAAATACTCAAGTTGCAAGTTTTTCAAAAAAAAAAAATCTTTTACAATTTGAGCATCTTAAAACATTTTCTTTTATAGACATTTTAAGACATTGTTGGTATACTCATAATTAATATTATTTAGTGTTGTTTTCATTTTTTTATATCGATCGCTTCGAGAATTTGAAGTTTTTCTTTTTATTTCCATGGTGGAGTATACTTGTATTGTCAACTAATATTTCTCTAAAACGTGAATGTGGACAAGAATGTTCTTTTAAATGTTGTACAACAAAACTTGAATCCGACATGTGTAAATAGGCCTTCTTGATAGCGTCGTCGTCGTGAAACCAACATATATATTTACGTTTTTGTCTGAGATACAATCTCCCAAAAGACATTTAAATTAATTTCCAACGTTGGTCTTTTGGAAAACATTGCAGGTTGAATATTTTTAAAACAATAATAATAAAAAATATAAATATGACATATACAGCCTGTCTGAAGTCATTATGCAAATAAAAAACACAATTACTCACAATTTCTGAATCAATACACTCATTCATTTCCACCTTTAGTAAAATATTTAACTAAATTTTTTGCCGTTTTTAATGGTTTGTTTTTGAGATATTTGGAATTTACGGAGATGGACTGACTTAAATTATAATGTAGATTAAATTAATATTAGCTTGATACCTGTGAAATCTAATATATTTCTTTTTGTCCATAATATATGTTGAATCATGGATAAAGGGGAGGATCTAACAAATGATGAAAAACAGAAAATAACGAAGTTATTGAGTGAGGGAATGTCTACATTAAAGATATCAAATTGGCTTTTCAGAGGTCATCGAACGATAAAGAAGCTGTTGAAAAAAGTTGAGAACTCGAAGCAAAGGAAAAAGCTTTAAGAACTTCCTCGAGATGAACGTAAATTAAAGCGAGTTATGGCGAAACAATTATTTTTGATCAGTGATCAGATTTTTGAAAAAGCTGGAATTGAAGAAGTCAAAAAGGACAAAAGGTGTAGAATACTTTGTGAATTGTGATCGGTAAAAAAAATCTAGACAACTTACTCTCATTAAAGCAAATATTTTAAAGCGTCAAAATTGGGCCAAGAAATACATGAAAATACTTTTCTAAAGTAATTTTCTTGGATGAGTTTCGAGTGACATTGAATGGATCTGATGGATGGGCCATAGGGTGGATTTAATCAATTCAGACGTGCCTGTGGCTAAAAAAAAGACAACGAGGAGGCGGTAGTGTTAGGATATGGGCTGGAATTGTTGACCAAACCATTATTGAATCCTTCAAAGTCAATGAAGCAGTTAAACCGAACAGTGATAACTATTGTAATTTTATGAACAAGACTTTCTTTGCATGGAATAAGTCCCAGTCTCGCAGTTTCAAAGTGAAGTGTGTATTTATGCACGACAATACTCCTTCTCATGTATCTAAGCTTACCCATGAATTCTTTGCGCATAAAAGATTTACAGGAGAGAAGATAATGAAATGGCCGCCATCAAGTACTGATCTGAATCCGATCGAAAATCTATGATCAATTGTGAAGATGAAATTATATGAAGGTGGTAAACAATATAAAAGCAAAGCAGACCTATGGGAAGAAATTAAAACGACCATGACGGAAATTGAACCTACTGAAGTTAAAAATCAATGGATATTAAATTACTTACTATTACTTTCAAATGAAAATAATTGAAAATAATAATGTAGCGTTCTTTAGTTTTGTTTTAAAAAAAATAAATCGTTAGGTGGTCATTTTATGAAAATCGCCTGAGGATCCGCAAGGTTGAAACCAAGGTAGCGAATTCAATTGACCTCCTGATTGTTAAAGTTGAAAGCTCTATAGGATCCTTTCATATTCACGAATAAGCTTTTTTGTGAGGTTACTAAAAGAAGAGAGGAAAATGTGTACAATAATTTAAATATTAGCGGTTGTCATTAATATTTTTTCCTATATCTAGCAACTACACAAGTCCGGAATTTTTCCACAGCATACGATGTTACCTCCCCTTAAATGGTGTTTGTCAACCAGTCATGACACAATGTTTGTGACTCCACATATAAAAATGGTAATCTTTGGATGACCACAACAATTTTCGTCCTTCACAAACATGAACACTAAATACTTACTCCATAATTAACAATACCCTGATGATGACATTATGCTATGTTGAAAGTACTCCAAATAAATACAATATGAGCCAATACGGTGTTTTCCTCTCGTCTTTTAATAATGGCACAAAAAAGCTTATTCGCAAATAATAGGATCCTATTGAGAATAAGTAGACAGGTAACATTCGAGAGGAAAAAAATAAATGCGAATCGAAATATGCTTTTTTTTTTTAAATGTGTTATTGTTAATGGATACAAACGTTTGGAGCGTGCAGTCGCAACGCTAAGAATTTTACTACCTGTATTTTACCAAAAACAAAATAATTTCCATGCCCGAGGATGACTGAATGTATAGTTGAAAGTACTTGCGTATTAAAGAAAGACCTTATACAGTTTATAATTTTTAAAAACAAGGATCATAACATTCATCGAGTGATTTGTAGGTTAATGCACTTTTAAAATTTTGTTTGCAAGGGATTTCGCCATTTTATATCATTAACTTTACTACTTATCTACTTTTTGTATGAATAATTCATTGTAATATAAATTGAACTGCACCACATATTTAATATATATATATATATATATATATATATATATAAGTTATGAAGAACTTGGTAAACCGAATTGGTAAATCCAAGGAGGATGAAATCCTGAGAGCTCAATGTGAAGAACAGAGCTAATATTTTTTTCTTTTTTTCCTCTCATTTCATTGTTGGAAGTGTTACCTGATGATCCGAAATCCTTTAAAAAGGATTTTGGTGAAATAAATTATTGTAATGGTACCTTAAAGTGGTCTGTTTTTCATTAAATTTATATATATATATATATATATATATATATATATATATATCCAAGGTAATTACTATAAATTAATTATATAAAAACAATTTTATTTAATTAATCATTTACTGCCTACTCCATACATAGCAATTTTTCAAAATAGGTATTTGATTATCTTAGACGTGAGATTATGGACCCTTCCTTCTTAAAAACGCTAAAAAAAAAAACCAAAAAAACAACAAAAAAAAAAAAAATAAAGAAACAAAAATTAAATAGCATTTACTTGTTCTTTCATTTAGGTACATACGTGTTTGTGTGTATGATTCTATAGGTGTGCATGTATGCGTGTGTGCTTACGTATATACGAGTGTCTTTCTACGTATGAGTTCATATGGGAGCACATTCCCGTATGTATTGGTACCTATGTATATATGCGTGTCTGTGTATATATAACTGCGAGTGTGCATATGTGGGCACGCGGCTAAGTGGTTAGAACCTTCACTTTCATACCATGAGAGCCGGGTTCGAATCTCACCATGGTCACCTTTCTGAAAACAATACCATAGGTTGACCCCAACCTTGTGAGCCGTCGATAGTTGTGCTAGCACGAAGTCTCAAGTCATCATGAGCGAGGGTTTGAGTGTGCTAGTCTTGTTTAGACTGTTGATCATGCTAGATAACGCGATCTCTCCCCCCCAAAACTGTAAATAAGTTCCAGCTCTGTGGATGCTGAACAAACACAAATGTGCCTGAACAGACGTCTGAAACTGGGATTGGCTATTTGGGCAGTCATTATGTGTGTATATATACGTGTGTTTGTACACGTGTATGCGTGTGCGTGTATATATAAGTATGTGCGTGCTTATATATGTGCGTATTTATGCGTGTGTCTACATATGATTATTAATGTATATTTATGTGTATGTATGCATGTTTGTATATATGACCGTGTTTGTGCATGTGTACACGTTTACATATGTCTGCATATGTGTGTGTGTGTGTGTGTGTGTGTGTGTGTGTGTGTGTGTGTGTGTGCAGATGTACGTATGTCTGTGCGCGTATATGTGTGGATAGATATGAGTAGTTATGTCTATAGAGCTTTTCCTAAAATGACAACCCAAGGGAAAAAGTTCAAAAACGTAATTATGTTGTCCAATCGCAAGCCACGAAATCTTACATAAAAAAAAGTTGTTCGGGTCAAAGTTTAGCGGTTTGATGTATTCAGGGAACAGCCTGTTTTCTCGTCCAGCGAAGCGGTCGGCCGTGTGTCATTTTCCATTGGGATGTTTGCCCCAGGGAAGGGAAATAATTTGTTAAAGTCATCAGTTTAAAGCGGGCGATCGTCTGGCGGCACGTGTAGCTGCTCCTTCGTCAGATATGAGATCAGAAGAGACACTTACAATGGACTATTATAGAGAGAGAGACAGGCCAGCAGATATGAATAGATAGAGACTGAGACAGATAAGATGTAAAGAGAGAAATAGACAGGAAGAGTGACATAGATCAAGAAATATAGATAGGAACAAAACCAGTTAGAGATAGATAGATAGATAGATATGAATAGCCTAAAATAGATAGAGAGATATGAACAGACTGAAATAGATAGATAGATAAATAGATATAAACAGAATGAGATAGATAGATAGATAGATAGATAGATAGATAGATAGATAGATAGATAGATATGAATAGCCTAAAATAGATAGAGAGATATGAACAGACTGAAATAGATAGATAGATAAATAGATATAAACAGAATGAGATAGATAGATACATAGATAGATAGATAGATATGAATAGCCTAAAATAGATAGAGAGATATGAACAGACTGAAATAGATAGATAAATAGATATAAACAGAATGAGATAGATAGATAGATAGATAGATAGATAGATAGATATGAATAGCCTAAAATAGATAGAGAGATATGAACAGACTGAAATAGATAGATAAATAGATATAAACAGAATGAGATAGATAGATAGATAGATAGATAGATAGATATGAATAGCCTAAAATAGATAGAGAGATATGAACAGACTGAAATAGATAGATAAATAGATATAAACAGAATGAGATAGATAGATAGATAGATAGATAGATATGAATAGCCTAAAATAGATAGAGAGATATGAACAGACTGAAATAGATAGATAGATAAATAGATATAAACAGAAATAGATAGATAGATACATAGATAGATAGATAGATATGAATAGCCTAAAATAGATAGAGAGATATGAACAGACTGAAATAGATAGATAGATAAATAGATATAAACAGAATGAGATAGATAGATAGATAGATAGATAGATAGATAGATAGATATGAATAGCCTAAAATAGATAGAGAGATATGAACAGACTGAAATAGATAGATAGATAAATAGATATGAACAGAATGAGATAGATAGATAGATAGATAGATAGATAGATAGATATGAATAGCCTAAAATAGATAGAGAGATATGAACAGACTGAAATAGATAGATAGATAAATAGATATAAACAGAATGAGATAGATAGATACATAGATAGATAGATAGATATGAATAGCCTAAAATAGATAGAGAGATATGAACAGACTGAAATAGATAGATAGATAAATAGATATAAACAGAATGAGATAGATAGATACATAGATAGATAGATAGATAGATAGATAGATAGATAGATATGAATAGCCTAAAATAGATAGAGAGATATGAACAGACTGAAATAGATAGATAAATAGATATAAACAGAATGAGATAGATAGATAGATAGATAGATAGATAGATAGATAGATATGAATAGCCTAAAATAGATAGAGAGATATGAACAGACTGAAATAGATAGATAGATAAATAGATATAAACAGAATGAGATAGATAGATAGATAGATAGATATGAATAGCCTAAAATAGATAGAGAGATATGAACAGACTGAAATAGATAGATAGATAAATAGATATAAACAGAATGAGATAGATAGATAGATAGATAGATAGATAGATAGATATGAATAGCCTAAAATAGATAGAGAGATATGAACAGACTGAAATAGATAGATAGATAAATAGATATAAACAGAATGAGATAGATAGATAGATAGATAGATAGATAGATAGATAGATAGATAGATATGAATAGCCTAAAATAGATAGAGAGATATGAACAGACTGAAATAGATAGATAGATAAATAGATATAAACAGAATGAGATAGATAGATAGATAGATAGATAGATAGATATGAATAGCCTAAAATAGATAGAGAGATATGAACAGACTGAAATAGATAGATAGATAAATAGATATAAACAGAATGAGATAGATAGATAGATAGATAGATAGATATGAATAGCCTAAAATAGATAGAGAGATATGAACAGACTGAAATAGATAGATAGATAAATAGATATAAACAGAATGAGATAGATAGATACATAGATAGATATGAATAGCCTAAAATAGAGAGAGAGATATGAACAGACTGAAATAGATAGATAGATAAATAGATATAAACAGAATGAGATAGATAGATAGATAGATAGAGATAGATAGATAGATAGATAGATAGATAGATATGAATAGCCTAAAATAGATAGAGAGATATGAACAGACTGAAATAGATAGATAGATAAATAGATATAAACAGAATGAGATAGATAGATAGATAGATAGATAGATAGATAGATAGATATGAATAGCCTAAAATAGATAGAGAGATATGAACAGACTGAAATAGATAGATAGATAAATAGATATAAACAGAATGAGATAGATAGATAGATAGATAGATAGATAGATAGATATGAATAGCCCTAAAATAGATAGAGAGATATGAACAGACTGAAATAGATAGATAGATAAATAGATATAAACAGAATGAGATAGATAGATAGATAGATAGATAGATAGATATGAATAGCCTAAAATAGATAGAGAGATATGAACAGACTGAAATAGATAGATAGATAAATAGATATAAACAGAATGAGATAGATAGATAGATAGATAGATATGAATAGCCTAAAATAGATAGAGAGATATGAACAGACTGAAATAGATAGATAGATAAATAGATATAAACAGAATGAGATAGATAGATAGATAGATTGATATGAATAGCCTAAAATAGATAGAGAGATATGAACAGACTGAAATAGATAGATAGATAAATAGATATAAACAGAATGAGATAGATAGATACATAGATAGATAGATAGATATGAATAGCGTAAAATAGATAGAGAGATATGAACAGACTGAAATAGATAGATAGATAAATAGATATAAACAGAATGAGATAGATAGATACATAGATAGATAGATAGATAGATAGATAGATAGATAGATATGAATAGCCTAAAAAATAATTAGGAGAGATATGAACAGACTGAAATAGATAGATAGATAAATAGATATAAACAGAATGAGATAGATAGATAGATAGATAGATAGATAGATAGATAGATAGATAGATAGATATGAATAGCCTAAAATAGATGAGAGATATGAACAGACTGAAATAGATAGATAGATAAATAGATATAAACAGAATGAGATAGATAGATAGATAGATAGATAGATAGATAGATAGATATGTGAATGGCCTAAAATAGATGGAGAGATATGAACAGACTGAAATAGATAGATAGATAAATAGATATAAACAGAATGAGATAGATAGATACATAGATAGATAGATAGATGGATAGATAGATATGAATAGCCTAAAATAGATGGGAGATGGGAACAGACTGAAATAGATAGATAGATAAATAGATATAAACAGAATGAGATAGATAGATAGATAGATACATAGATAGATAGATAGATATGAATAGCCTAAAATAGATAGAGAGATATGAACAGACTGAAATAGATAGATAAATAGATATAAACAGAATGAGATAGATAGATAGATAGATAGATAGATATGGATGAATAGCCTAAAATAGATGAGAGATATGAACAGACTGAAATAGATAGAGGAAAATAGATATAAACAGAATGAGAGAGATAGATAGATAGATAGATATGAATAGCCTAAAATAGATAGAGAGATATGAACAGACTGAAATAGATAGATAAATAGATATAAACAGAATGAGATAGATAGATAGATAGATAGATAGATATGAATAGCCTAAAATAGATAGAGAGATATGAACAGACTGAAATAGATAGATAGATAAATAGATATGAACAGAATGAGATAGATAGATAGATAGATAGATAGATAGATAGATAGATATGAATAGCCTAAAATAGATAGAGAGATATGAACAGACTGAAATAGATAGATAGATAAATAGATATAAACAGAATGAGATAGATAGATACATAGATAGATAGATAGATATGAATAGCCTAAAATAGATAGAGAGATATGAACAGACTGAAATAGATAGATAGATAAATAGATATAAAACAGAATGAGATAGATAGATACATAGATAGATAGATAGATAGATAGATAGATAGATAGATAGATGAATAGCCTAAAATAGATAGAGAGATATGAACAGACTGAAATAGATAGATAAATAGATATAAACAGAATGAGATAGATAGATAGATAGATAGATAGATAGATAGATAGATATGAATAGCCTAAAATAGATAGAGAGATATGAACAGACTGAAATAGATAGATAGATAAATAGATATAAACAGAATGAGATAGATAGATAGATAGATAGATATGAATAGCCTAAAATAGATAGAGAGATATGAACAGACTGAAATAGATAGATAGATAAATAGATATAAACAGAATGAGATAGATAGATAGATAGATAGATAGATAGATAGATAGATATGAATAGCCTAAAATAGATAGAGAGATATGAACAGACTGAAATAGATAGATAGATAAATAGATATAAACAGAATGAGATAGATAGATAGATAGATAGATAGATAGATAGATAGATATGAATAGCCTAAAATAGATAGAGAGATATGAACAGACTGAAATAGATAGATAGATAAATAGATATAAACAGAATGAGATAGATAGATAGATAGATAGATAGATATATATGAATAGCCTAAAATAGATAGAGAGATATGAACAGACTGAAATAGATAGACAGATAAATAGATATAAACAGAATGAGATAGATAGATAGATAGATAGATAGATATGAATAGCGTAAAATAGATAGAGAGATATGAACAGACTGAAATAGATAGATAGATAAATAGATATAAACAGAATGAGATAGATAGATACATAGATAGATATGAATAGCCTAAAATAGATAGAGAGATATGAACAGACTGAAATAGATAGATAGATAAATAGATATAAACAGAATGAGATAGATAGATAGATAGATAGATAGATAGATAGATAGATAGATATGAATAGCCTAAAATAGATAGAGAGATATGAACAGACAGAAATAGATAGATAGATAAATAGATATAAACAGAATGAGATAGATAGATAGATAGATAGATAGATAGATATGAATAGCCTAAAATAGATAGATATGAACAGACTGAAATAGATAGATAGATAAATAGATATAAACAGAATGAGATAGATAGATAGATAGATAGATAGATATGAATAGCCTAAAATAGATAGAGAGATATGAACAGACTGAAATAGATAGATAGATAAATAGATATAAACAGAATGAGATAGATAGATAGATAGATAGATATGAATAGCCTAAAATAGATAGAGAGATATGAACAGACTGAAATAGATAGATAGATAAATAGATATAAACAGAATGAGATAGATAGATAGATATATAGATTGATATGAATAGCCTAAAATAGATAGAGAGATATGAACAGACTGAAATAGATAGATAGATAAATAGATATAAACAGAATGAGATAGATAGATACATAGATAGATAGATAGATATGAATAGCGTAAAATAGATAGAGAGATATGAACAGACTGAAATAGATAGATAGATAAATAGATATAAACAGAATGAGATAGATAGATACATAGATAGATAGATAGATAGATAGATAGATAGATAGATATGAATAGCCTAAAATAATTAGAGAGATATGAACAGACTGAAATAGATAGATAGATAAATAGATATAAACAGAATGAGATAGATAGATAGATAGATAGATAGATAGATAGATATGAATAGCCTAAAATAGATAGAGAGATATGAACAGACTGAAATAGATAGATAGATAAATAGATATAAACAGAATGAGATAGATAGATAGATAGATAGATAGATAGATAGATAGATAGATATGAATAGCCTAAAATAGATAGAGAGATATGAACAGACTGAAATAGATAGATAGATAAATAGATATAAACAGAATGAGATAGATAGATAGATAGATAGATAGATAGATAGATAGATATGAATAGCCTAAAATAGATAGAGAGATAGGAACAGACTGAAATAGATAGATAGATAAATAGATATAAACAGAATGAGATAGATAGATAGATAGATAGATATGAATAGCCTAAAATATGAGAGAGATATGAACAGACTGAAATAGATAGATAGATAAATAGATATAAACAGAATGAGATAGATAGATAGATAGATAGATAGATAGATAGATAGATAGATAGATAGATATGAATAGCCTAAAATAGATAGAGAGATATGAACAGACTGAAATAGATACATAGATAAATAGATATAAACAGAATGAGATAGATAGATAGATAGATAGATAGATAGATAGATAGATAGATAGATATGAATAGCCTAAAATAGATAGAGAGATATGAACAGACTGAAATAGATAGATAGATAAATAGATATAAACAGAATGAGATAGATAGATAGATAGATAGATAGATAGATATGAATAGCCTAAAATAGATAGAGAGATATGAACAGACTGAAATAGATAGATAGATAAATAGATATAAACAGAATGAGATAGATAGATAGATAGATAGATAGATAGATAGATATGAATAGCCTAAAATAGATAGAGAGATATGAACAGACTGAAATAGATAGATAGATAAATAGATATAAACAGAATGAGATAGATAGATAGATAGATAGATAGATAGATAGATATGAATAGCCTAAAATAGATAGAGAGATATGAACAGACTGAAATAGATAGATAGATAAATAGATATAAACAGAATGAGATAGATAGATAGATAGATAGATAGATATGAATAGCCTAAAATAGATAGAGAGATAGGAACAGACTGAAATAGATAGATAGATAAATAGATATAAACAGAATGAGATAGATAGATAGATAGATAGATAGATAGATAGATATGAATAGCCTAAAATAGATAGAGAGATATGAACAGACTGAAAATAGATAGATAGATAAATAGATATAAACAGAATGAGATAGATAGATAGATAGATAGATAGATAGATAGATATGAATAGCCTAAAATAGATAGAGAGATATGAACAGACTGAAATAGATAGATAGATAAATAGATATAAACAGAATGAGATAGATAGATAGATAGATAGATAGATAGAATATGAATAGCCTAAAATAGGATGAGAGATATGAACAGACTGAAATAGATAGATAGATAAATAGATATAAACAGAATGAGATAGATAGATAGATAGATAGATAGATAGATAGATATGAATAGCCTAAAATAGATGAGAGATATGAACAGACTGAAATAGATAGATAGATAAATAGATATAAACAGAATGAGATAGATAGATAGATAGATAGATAGATAGATAGATAGATGAATGTGAATAGCCTAAAATAGATGAGAGATATGAACAGACTGGAAATAGATAGATAGATAAATAGATATAAACAGAATGAGATAGATAGATAGATGGAGATAGATATGAATAGCCTAAAATAGATAGAGAGATATGAACAGACTGAAATAGATAGATAGATAAATAGATATAAACAGAATGAGATAGATAGATAGATAGATAGATAGATAGATAGATATGAATAGCCTAAAATAGATAGAGAGATATGAACAGACTGAAATAGATAGATAGATAAATAGATATAAACAGAATGAGATAGATAGATAGATAGATAGATAGATAGATAGATAGATATGAATAGCCTAAAATAGATAGAGAGATATGAACAGACTGAAATAGATAGATAGATAAATAGATATAAACAGAATGAGATAGATAGATAGATAGATAGATAGATATGAATAGCCTAAAATAGATAGAGAGATATGAACAGACTGAAATAGATAGATAGATAAATAGATATAAACAGAATGAGATAGATAGATAGGTAGATAGATAGATAGATAGATAGATAGATATGAATAGCCTAAAATAGATAGAGAGATATGAACAGACTGAAATAGATAGATAGATAAATAGATATAAACAGAATGAGATAGATAGATAGATAGATAGATAGATAGATAGATATGAATAGCCTAAAATAGATAGAGAGATATGAACAGACTGAAATAGATAGATAGATAAATAGATATAAACAGAATGAGATAGATAGATAGATAGATAGATAGATAGATAGATAGATAGAAACAGACTGAGATAGAAACTATGATAGATAGATAGATATGAGCAATATAAAAAAGAGATACATAGATATGAACAAACGAAAAAAGATAGATCCCTGAATAGACAGAAATAGCTAGAGTGAGACAGACACAGAAAGAAAGGAATATATATATATATATATATATATATATATATATATATATATATATATATATATTTGTGTGTGTGTGTGTGTGTGTGTGTGTGCACGTGTGTGTGTGTGTACAGAGTGAAATTGAACGATAGATATAGACATGCATATAAATATAAACAAATAAGATTGATAATAGATATGAAGAGAATGATATAGATAGATAGATATGAACAGATTCAGGTAGATAAATAAATAGAAAGAAAGAAAGAAAGAAAGAAAAAAAGAAATGAGCAGAATTAAAAACATAGATCGATCGATCGATAGATAGATATGAACAGACAGATAGATAGATTTGAACCAAGGTAGATAAATATAAAGAAAGATATACTGATAGCAACAAAGAAAATAACTAGATATGAGTAGATTAATAAATATGAACAATGAATTTATATGTGAACAAATCGAGAGATGAAGTGGGTGGGATAGATGTGATCAACATATGCCACATCGATAGATTCCATCAGTCTTCCGACAAAAGATAAATCATATCTAAATAGCGAAAGCAAAACGAATTAGCGACATTGCAACTGATGCCTGTATTTTCTCTGTTATCAATCTGATCGGCGATTGGTGGGAAATTGTTTGCCTACAATTCACGTCAACAACAACAAAAAAAAACTAAAATAAATAAATAAATAAAAAATAACAAAAACAAAGAGGCAGTTAGATCTTTCCTAATTGAAGCAAAAATATATTTTGCCCTTTGTCATTGATATTACTTTTTGATTATTTAATCGATAAAAAACAAAAATCTTTCATATTCCGTTTACATCTGTCTCTGTTTTTATTTCGGCAACTAAAGGGAATCTTTACCTCTTTCTGCTCTTGTTTCTTTTTTTTCAAATATATATCAGTTACAATTCTACTGAATAGAGTTCCTTAGAAACAGATACGAATTAGTCATGTCGAAATGAAGCAATTACAAAAATTTAACTATTTGGGAAGTGTTCTGTTAGACTAGGAAAAATGGGCCACAGAAATCTGAAAGTGCGTCAGTAAAAGGAAAATAAAACCCAGCAGATTAATAAGAGATAAAAAAAAAAAAAACTTTGTTAGCAAAAAAGAAAGGAGTGTCGAACTGCGATCTAATATCAACCCTCCTCTATGCCTGTGAATGCTGTACAATTCCTTCACAAATGAAGAAGAGACTTGTGGCCAGAGAAACGTTCTACAAAAGGATACTCTGAATACTATGGACGGAGCATATAAGCAACGAGGAGGTTCTAAAAGAAATGGGGAAACTTATACTTAGGCTCAGTTGAAAGAGGGTTCGGAGAATTTGACACTGACAGGAAATATTGAAGGCTAACCTCGAGTCATCTGCATAACATTTTGTAAATAGATGTCAGAACAAAGAGGGGGGTATTGTAAAAAAAACACACATACACACATACCATAGATATTGTAGAGATCCGTGGTCGCTTATGTCATGAAGGTACACACCACATAAAAAGGAGCCGGACTAAAACAAGCTAACAGAAAAACTATCAGCGTGTGCGATATAAATTCTGGAAAAGCTAAATTTACATGACATATTTTATTATCCAAGTCAATGCTTTCACCATAAAATTAATATTAACGGACTTCGGGAAAACTTATAGGATATAGTTCAAGAAAACATTTCAGCTTATAATATGCATCCTATATATCCTTATCAAAAATTGTTTTGTTGGGAATAAAGTTTTATAATGTAAAGTACAACAAAACTGTTTATTTATAAATTTAAAAAAGAAACAAACTTATAGGCCAATGAAACATATAATACCACACTAGGCTATATAGCTGAATAAATTATTATTTTATATGTTTATATAAGCTCCTTGACATTCTATAGCATTCATCTGTCTTTCAAACACTTTATTTTATAAATTGTTCTACTCTTTCTTTATCATTACTTGAAGCAGTATTTTTTATTATTTTACAGAGATTTTCTTTGCATAAATATTGTCTACACATTTTCATATACAGCTATTTTAACAATGAACTGTAATTTTCTGTAGCATTAATATCTGAGAGGATCGTGTGTCATCTCATCAATTTCGAATCTTTGAAAATTTTTTAGCAAGAGTGGACTACTTGCTTTTCAGAATGCGAAGGAGCATCGCGTGCTCAGTTGTTTAAATGTTTCTGCTTATTACCTGTATACTCCAAGAAAGCTTTCTCCAAGAATTCTAGGCATTTATCATGACATCAGCACCCTTTTTAAAGGAACCCAGAATTGCACTATCCACAAGACTAACTCCAAATATTACTTTATCTGTTGGTCCACTAATTTAATGAAGGAACAAAACTCTAGGCCAGCTAACAGGTTCATCCAATGTAGCTCTACATTCATCAGTAAAATTACTGTTGAAAAATCAATGTTTCTGTACTATATATATATATATATATATATATATATATATATATACACAATCACTCTCTCTCTCTCTTGCTTTCAATCCTCTCTCTCTCTCTCACACACACACACACACACACACACACACACACATATATATATATATATATATATATATATAAATTTTTCGTTAGAGACGACTGAGAAGGTAATGCGATTAAGCTTTTTTATTTTAGTGTGTGTGCCCTCGTGTGGTTAATTTAATGGAAAAATAAAACCTTTTACATTATACGTTTTGTCCTTCGATAGATAACGTATGAGATTTGGTCTCTCCATGTTCTCATTCAGCTATCGTCTATAAATACAGATTTGTATATCATATATTCTATACTAGAATATCCTGAAAATATTACCAAATTTGATTGGTTAATTTCAATTTTATCGTGAATACATTAACTTATCTAATAAAATGAAATGTCAATTTCGTAGATTACATTCGATAAAGAACAGCAGGAAGAGAGCAAACTTTTAGGTAAGCTTCATCTAGGTGCTTACTGTCTCTCTCCACTAAGACGCGTTGTGACACCAGGCCTTTTTGAGGTGGGGACCCGGGCATATACACCGGGGAAAGGAACAAAAATTGCCCGCAGGCCCCGCAACCGTCGGTTGCGCTGGCCTCAGTGCGAGTACCGATCTCTCTCTCTCTGGTACAATGAGAGGGCGCGGCCTCGAGCAGCTGTTACCCAGGGCTGGACAATTCTTAGTATAATTTTCCTCAATTGCGATTCTGTCCTTTGACGGAGTTGCCCCTGAGTACACTCTGCCCAAAGACAGAGACTGAGAGATGGTAAGTAATATGTTACAAGCTACTCAAAGGAGCGATTTACACACAGAAAACCTTGATCTACATGCAAAAGATAATCCGTAATATGTAAAGAGTACTATTGAAACTTGGATAAGCATGGAATAATAATAATACAACACAAAATGTACGTAAACAAAATGTATTGAAACAAGGAAAAGGTACACAATATTTACAGTTAGTTTTGGTATATTCTTGGGAAGACAGTTCCTGCATAATGGGTTGACTAAATCGCAGTCGGGCAGAGTCTCTGGATTCGATCTCTTCTTACTACTATTTTCCCGTCTTCCGGTACCAACCCATATTTATATCGGTCGGTACTCCACTTATGTAAATTAGGTGTATCGTACCACAACAAGTACCTTAGATTTGAGGCGGAGAGAGAACGAATTAAATGAATGCCCAAATATAGAAAGCATATTCACAATGGGTTTAATCTGTACAACGAGACAATCTTAAAAGAACGGGAAATCCCCCAAGTATTACTTTTCGACAGATACACAACATAACAATAACACATCCGCTATGTAGACAACACAGTCTTGATAAGAGATTCAGAAAGAAAAGCGAAATAATTATTAGACATACCAAAAGAAATAATTATAATGGAACATGGAAAAACGGACAAATTGTTAACTGTAAAAATCGAAGATATAAGGTTGTCAGGAAAAAGGGACAAAGACCCAATGTGTGATTTACATGTTGCATCAAGTATGTTTTTAAGTTTTACTACATAGCCTGATTGGTGGGGGACTGTTCCTGGCAGTGCTTTGTGACCCTTAAAATGTTAACAACATTTGCTTTTTTCTACCTATATTTAAATAAGTTACAAATTAAACGAAGCATGACTGATTATTAAAGGATGAAAAAATTTTCGCGGATTTTGACGTCATTCTCGGGTCGTTCAAATCCGTGAATTTGTTTCGCTCATACTAAGTCTTAAAAAAAAAAAAAAAAAGAACACAATATAAAATTCAATATTTTTATCCATAATGTTCAATATCTTCAAATTATTGAAGTTTTTAACAAGAAAAATCTCAAGTTAATGTTAAAAATTGCCGAAAAACATTATTTATCAATTATGACATGTTTCTAATTTGTATTTAGATAAATTGAATTTATTTTCAATTTCTCTAGTTGAATCGTTCACTTATATTGCATATGAGCCATTATTGTACATAATTGGGTTAGAATAAAATTTGTATCTTATATAAATACTACCTTATGAAAATTGAGATGTAGAAGAGTGGAGTCGCGTATCATAGATTGATAGAGACTGGGTTCACATAGGAATCAACACGATGTGAAGATCTATTGCTGTGTGAAACTGACATTTACCATGCAGTGTTGATGTCTATATATATATATATATATATATATATATATATATATATATATATATATGTGAAAATATATAGAAAATAGGAAGGAACTGGTTAGGTAAATAATCCAAAGTCCCTTAGTATTTTAGTTATTATTTTTTAAAAATAGTGCTCGATACAAAAATAGAGCATAAATATAATTATTTATTTAAAAATATGATTCGAAATCGCTACATAAGAGGTCTCATGTTTCAAAACAAGAGCCGAAAACTTCAATATAATCCTTTAAATTAAATTGAGTTGAAAGTAAAATGGCCTCCGTTCCATCTTCAAGCGAAATTTTTGTTGGAATAACGTATATCTGAAATTTACTTGTTTTAAAATTGAAATCAAAATCCCCATGGTAACAGCTAGGGTGAATTGTCTAAATTGGGTAGGCGAGTGTAGGGTGTTTATAATAAGTAGCGGTATAGAGATACTTTCAAGGTGTCAAGTCGGGGAAAGGTGGGGTGTCAAAAAATGAAACGGAAGATGTATTAGCCCATCGTCTTGTATGCTTGTCTATGGAGATTTATTTATTTATTTTATTTTATTTTATTATGAAAGGGAATTGTGCATATAAAAAAAGAAAAACTTTCGTAACGTTTGTTTTTTGACGACTTCATAAAGGGTTATCTTATATGTAAGGTATTTAAACTACTAATTTAGGCTATGGATTATGAAGTGTGTTATGTTGTATGCATGTTTGTAGTTAATTATTCCTACTATGAATCTGATGATTGGGCTATTTGTTAAACAAGTTATATAAAAATTTTTATCTAATAATTCAAACCAAAAATCTGATGATGCCTACAAAAAACCGTTAACTCGTGTCTATTATTTAATAGATTATTATTATTTAGAAGTTTAATAATGTGCAATTTTTCGTGGAGGCACAAAGGGCATGGGTCATCCCAAGCTTTACATATTCTAGCCTTGTCAATAATTTTCCATTTAACTTTTGGTGTCTTATTTGTTTCCTTCAGGTGCCAAAAATATTTTGATAGTGAAGTCTGATTTCGTTTGTTTATATTATTAAAGGAGCACTTATGCTGCCTCCATCTATCTTTAAAATTATTCTTCGTGGACCCAATGTATATCATATTAATGCTAGGGCTCTCTGTGGATGAAATAGTACATTGGTATACCACAGAATTAATACAACATTTATTTTCTAATGGGCAGTCTTCTGGGTTTCTACAGTTACATAATTTTTCCCTTTTATCGTCTGATTTAAGTGTGGAGTTTTATTAATACTGTTTTGGCATGGGGTTTGTTCAAGATCTTATTATTGTGTTTTTTATTATGCGTTCAAGATTATCAGAGCAGCTATAGCTCAATTTTAGGGTGTTCTTATTGAATATATTACTAAGCTTACTATTGGTGGGGAAGTGTTTATTAATTAGAGCTAAGAATTTCTGTCCTAGTTTAATACTAACCCTTTGGTTGAACGGAGGGGTGTACCAAATGATATTTTTTTCCTGTTTTTTCCTATGTCCAGTGTAATTTTTCTCTGTAGTTAATGTTAGCATTTTTATAACCACTATTTTTTAGGCAGTGTTATAGAAGCTATTGTGTTGTTGGAATATTTCTCTGTTTGCGGAGTTAATGCTAATTCTATTTTCTATTGATGAGGGTATATGTTTAATTATTGATGGAGGATGGTTTGACTTCGGGTGTATGTATAAAGGGTTAACATTTGGTTTTCTATAAAGGTTGGTATGTATTTGCCTGGTAAGTCTAGAGTTACGTCGAGGAAGTTAACCCTTTTCAAATTAGAAGAGACAGTTATCTTTAAGTTTAGTTTCTTAAATTCACTAAATATAATTTTTCTGATTTTTTCAATCTTAATACTAGTAGAACTCCTCACCACCATGAGCCCGTCATCTCTATACAGCCCGATGTCCTTATCAATTTCGCGGTGTGCCGTTAAATTGTACAGTATTAGGAGACCAACAAGGTCAGAAGACTCTGCAGAGTCTAACGATCCCATAGTGATGTCAACGACCTGTTTGACATTTATTTATTATGTATTTATTTTCAATTTTTCTAATTGAATTGCTCACTTATATTAAATATCATCCATTATTGTATATAATTAAGTTACAATAAAATTTGTATCTTATATAAATACTACCTTATGAAAATTGTCAGTCAATGTGTTAAACATCTTTATTATGTTATTATTTCATCCTTGAGTTACATGTGCTATTTATTTTAGTTGTTGCTGCAGTTGAAAGTCTTCAAGTGATGTGGTTTCTGTTAATGACAGTTCACGTGGTTCAAAGAAAGCTGGTTCTCGCTAAAACGTACAGGCTCCACTCGCTCTGCGCCATTTTAACCACTGATCTGCGAAAGCGGTTCTATACAGCTGACAGTTTAGATATTTCTGATGGGTTTGACACCGTGTATGATATCCACATAAAAGATTCGATCTGACGAGACTATTTAAGAAGATGACTAAAAAAAAACTGATAAAATCAACAAAAGAAAGGGATTTGTGGAGAGCCATGATCGCCCACGCCTTGAAGACACACTTACACACGCACACAACCGGTAACATCCTTTCAGTTTTTATTATTTTGCCAGCTTTTGAATGTTACTTTCTTGTATTGCTTACAGTCCAACGATTGTTACTGGATAACGGAAACGCAAGATTTAATTACATTAACCTCTGTCTGGAATGAAATGGTTTGGGACGAACAAAATAGGAAGCGATCCCTACTTCCGACAGGCCCTTCCTTATCCTCTTTCCAGCATCTCCTTTTACTCCGCAGTCCGCACCATCCCTTCTCGGTGTCCCCAGGCGAAGTTTCAATGACAGGGCAATCCCCGCTGGTCACGCGGCCATTTTGCGTGTTTGTTTTCCCGCTCGGCGGTAGAGCGTCACCGGTCAGCGGGAAGCGAACACTGGCAAACAGATCAGTAGGAGGGAGATAGAAAGAGGGGGATAGATAGATAGATAGATAGATAGATAGATAGATAGATAGATAGATAGATAGATAGATAGATAGAGCGAGAGAGAGATAGAGAGAGAGAGAGAGAGAGAATGGTGTATAATGGCGGTTAAGATCGAATTCAGTCCCACGTTAAGCTTTACGTTTTTTAAATCAAATATCGTTTAAAATATCTACTGATATCTTTGCACGTTATCTATCTATCTATCTATCTATCTATCTATCTATCTATCTATCTATCTATCTCAGCCTGTCTATATCTATCTATCTATCTATCTGGACCATCCAATTCATATCTATCTATCTATCTATCTATCTATCTATCTATCTATCTATTCAGAGAGAGGAACAGAGAAAGAGATAGAGATACATAGAAAGTATGCGTGTGTGTGTGTGTGAGAGAGAGAGAGAGAGAGAGAGAGAAAGGCAGAATATTACCTATTTATCTATCACAGTCCATTCGTAACATGATTATGTTGCTTGTTGAAGGAACTTCAGTGTGTAAATTAAAAATATTGTAAAAATGAAAATATTTTACCGACTCCTTAAAAGAAAAATGAGGAATTTTAATTTATTGGAATTAAAATTTTTCAGTTGAAATTTATTGGAATTGAAATTTTTCAGTTGAAATTTATTGGAATTGAAATTTTTCAATTGAAATTTATTGGAATTGAAATTTTTCAGTTGAAATTTATTGGAATTGAAATTTTTCAGTTGAAAATTATTGGAATTGAAATTTTTCAGTTGAAATTTATTGGAATTGAAATTTTTCAGTTGAAATTTATTGGAATTGAAATTTTTCAATTGAAATTTATTGGAATTGAAATTTTTCAATTGAAATTTATTGGAATTGAAATTTTTCAATTGAAATTTTTATTGGAATTGAAATTTTTCAATTGAAATTTATTGGAATTGAAATTTTTCAATTGAAATTTATTGGAATTGAAATTTTCAATTGAAATTTATTGGAATTGAAATTTTTCAATTGAAATTTATTGGAATTGAAATTTTTCAATTGAAATTTATTGGAATTGAAATTTTTCAATTGAAATTTATTGGAATTGAAATTTTTCAATTGAAATTTATTGGAATTGAAATTTT